CTGACAATTATCCCGATCAATCAAACCGTTTAACAGGTGAACGAAACACTTCAATTACCTCTCAATGGGCATTATCGGTGAAAGCACGCTGATAGTTTTCTTTTTAATTTTGTATCAAAGCAACTGAGGAGGAACGTAACGACTTGAACGACTACTATCACCCGCCTTTTCAGTTAGAACTGAAAAGGAGGGTGATAGTAGTCGTTCAAGTCGTTACGTTCCTCCTCAGTTGCTACCAGGGTACATGTTGAAAACTTGTTTTGTGAACAAGCTACAAATAAATCAACGATCAAGTCTGCTTTGCTATAATCAGTCCGTAAATGAGCTTGTACCAATGGATTTCCGTTTACATTTGTTCAGTCAGATAGATGTATACCGAACTGTCACTCGCTATATTAATGCCACCTGGTCCCCATAAGACTCGCTCATTATGCGCAGTATCTCAAGCGGATAGATTGGTTTGACTGGATCGGTGAAAAAACGTGCGGATGGGAAGTAAAGTGCAGCACAATAAATCACACATGTCTGTTTCATCGCGCGCAAACCGTTGACGATACCGTTTCTCGTGAAGCACTTCGGCACATATAGTGAACGCATATTCACAAACAAAACACATTAGGGTCGAACGTCAAAAATGTTCCGCATTGTCTAAATTGTTTTGGATGTCGTCAAAGAGAGCAACACGTGCATAAAATTGTTCGAATGCAACCCAAATGAAGTAAAATTTAATGTTTACCCTCAAATGTAACTTATCTTATCCATATCACATTGCTTAAATCATTAGCTTGGCGGAATTGTTCTTCAGAAGTATCATTTCATCGACATGTATTTCCCTACCCCACCCCGGCCCGGCCCGCCCCGCCCTCTGTACCAGGTATGGATGCCACAAACGAACGTATGCAACAAATGATCCATCTAGCCGAGTTGTGCATTGAGGTGCTTAAACAGAACGAGGAACATCATGCCGAGGTGAGTGNCCCATCCTCCCATCCGCAAATCCCTTCTCTCTTGGTTACACGGAATCGGAATTCGCGTTTGCAAATCTATTCAAAATGGAGTTTGAATATAAACGATGACATTTTCTATTTCTGATATTTTGACTCACATACACACACAAAAAATTATCATATTTCGACTGTAAGACCAAACATATCGCCTCGGTTCCTCGATTCGAACCTTACTTTTTTTCACTTGTGGTTTTTGTATTGCAGAACGCTCAGGCGTGCCCTCCCCCCTCCTTCAATCTTCGCTGTATTAGTTTCCGATTCCGAAAGGATGCGGAATTTTGATTTAACTGACCATATTCTGATAAGACGATGCTGACTGTGCAGTATTTTAGGAAACAGTTTCACATTCTCAGACAATTTCAGCTGCTCGCTTTTCTCTCAAGTATTACACTGATTACATTTCAGCGAAGAGATACAAATTTATTGGAATACATGATGTTTGATGATTTTGCTGAAAATTTCAGCTGGTACGCATTCTTTGGGATTGGCAGATTGCTGAACATTAAGCAATTCATCATACATTGGCAATGTGTTGTTATACGGGGACCGAACAAAACTTTTCCGGATGCACAAAAATAAGCATTACATTTTCTCAAAGTATTCTCCACCGGCGTTCGTGTACAGTTCCATGCTCTCAAACTATTTCATGAAACAGCTCGGTCATGCCGAAGTGAGTAACCCTTGGCCCAGGTAAATAAAGGTTTCCCCTGTAGCAGTTGGTGGCCCGTATCGGATTCCACGCATCATGCATTTGATATTTGGGAACGCAAAACAAATCACATGGAGCAAGGTGTGGGCTGTAGGGTGGGTGACCAACCTCCTGGATGCGTACTCTAGACGACGTGGGACATGTGTGCAGGTGCATTGTCATGGCACAACAAGATCCCCCCCTGTTAACAGCTTCTAGCCCCTTTCGGCAGACGGTGGGTGGCGTACCAGTCTCCAGTGACTGTGCCTTGCTGTAAGAGCGGTACAGTAGCCACATGACCCTTTTTGGTCGTGAACATAGCCCTTATCTGCTTCGCAACACGGTGATCGCGTCGGAATTTCTGAGGCGTCGCCCTACCAGCCGGAGTTTACTGAGCCCATTTTTGGTTGATCTCTGGATCGAAACTGTACACCCAGATCTCATCACCACTGATGACCACCCAAACTGCATCAAACCTGATAAGCATGGTGCGGCAACAATTCACCCGAACTGTTTCCTGTCCTTCAGTGAGCTGATGAGGTACCCATCGTGCGTAAACCTTTTTGGGGCCGAGTTTCTCATGTAGGGTGGTACGGATTGATCCCGATGAATTTTGCCAGCTGTCCCGCTATCATCCGTGCATTCTCCTCCACCCTGGCTTGTACAGCAGCAATGTTGGCCACTGTGGTGGCCTCCACATGTCGACCACACCGTGTCTCATCATACAGGGACCGTCTATCACGCTTAAATTCCGCAAACCTCGCAAACACGGAGCTTCTTGGGGCTCATCATCACGAAATTAGCCCGAAAACGATCAACACTATGCTGCTGCTTTATACTGCATTTATATCTGTGGAAAATCATCGCCCTCCAGTGACGTCGACTGAGTTCTGTCCTGACAGTCTGAGTATAGCGATTCTTATGGCTTGTGAGCTGTGATTGATTGTTGACATCTGGTTATGGGAGTCGCAATCACTGAATAATATGCACAATACAAGACTATAGTGCACGTTTTCCTTGTCCGGTCATTTTTATCTCGTGCTCGTCGTGTACTGCGTAACTCGGAAACATTTTGCTCAGTCCTCGTACACATCAATGAGAAGCGCGGGGAGATGTCTTATCCTTCTCACGAATCGCCATTAGCCTGTGTCCACCAATCTAGTGGACGTGTCAGGTAGTTTGTTTGAGCTTCGCAGTTTCTAACTGTGAAAGTACCATGTGGAGATGAACAGTCCAGTCAGCCAGTTGTTTTTGTTGTTGTTGTTGTTTTTGTTGTTGTTGATGATGATGATGATGATGATGATGAGGATGACGATGATGATTCTGTTATGCAATTCGAAGTCCAACAAACTGATTTGCTGGACGTTTTTTTCCTTTAGAACACGATTTGTTCCGTTATGCGAGAGCAGCAATTGGCCAAAATGTCACAAACTTAACACACACAAACACAAGAGATGATTGTTTCACTCCCATTTCAGTCGTTCGCCTGGTTCAGTGATCTGTTCGTTGCACACGCGGAGAATTTCTGGTCTTTGTTCCAAATGGACTTGTTCGATCTGATGGATCACCTCCCGGACTGTCGGTGGGAAGTGTTTGACTTGTTTCAACTATTGAACGACTATCTGTCGAATGATTGTAAGTCTGACCACGTAATCCCACCCCACCCCCGACTCATTCTCACAAAGATGACAAATGCGACTAGGTGACACGGACAAGGGGATACGGAGGAGTATGCAAAGCAATGCTTGATTCATATCTCTACATCTGTATCATTTGTTTTCATCGTACACAAACAGTCTGGTTCATACTTGATGATCATATCTTAGCACTTCTTTATTGAGCCATAATTATACAACTTGTTTACGCAGTACGGGAAATGTGATATCATCTTTTACGGGCTGTCACTGAAGCGTCACAGCTAATGGTTTCTTCTTCGTTTATTTTCTCTCTGTCTGTTAATGAGGTTCGATAATATTACATGCTTGGGAAAATCCCAAATATTACCAGTTTATGGGAATCAATCACGAGTTCGGATTTGGAATTTCCATTTGTTTTTCATTTCCATTCAGAAAATTCTGTAAAATATTTCTTCATTTTCATCGTTTTCTTGCTACAAATATTTCCCAAGGGGCCTAGCAACATTGCGCCGCTTTTTTCACCAGCACGTAAACCTTTATTTAGTCTTCGAGGTATGTTGAGATTTCTCAAACAACCAGTATATATATATATATCCTAGATAAAAATGTGTAAACCTGTTGGAAATAGTATGGAATGATTATCGCTCAGGATGCAGGAGTTGTCCGCAAACAACAACAACAATTCTAGCTCGGAGAGCACAGAAACACGAACATGTGTAAACTTGCGTTTGCACTAACCTATCAAGTGGAAAGTTGTGTTCCCTCTACATTTGGAGTCCATTTTTGTAAGCATATCCTCCAACACGCGCTCGTACATGAATGTGGATCCGGTTTGGGTCAAATTTTTCCTCTCTGGATTTCGGCGGAATTCTATCCAATTCAACTAATCCCGGATAGAGATGGTACCCCGGGGCTAAGGTAGAAGAAAAGATGATACTGAAAATACTCCTTGGTCAGGTGAATGAATCCCGCAGGCATATTTGCTTTCAGTCCAGTAGCACAGGCACAGTTATGGGTGATTTCTGACAACCATGAGGGGCGAATCAGCGCATGAAAATCCAATTTACTCTGCTACAAGTTTCTCGACTGATTTCGGTTTCCAAATCGGTCAGACTAATTCGTTGGCGGTGACCCTGGTCATCAATATATCGATCCGCATCACATAAGTGGATAGGATTACGGATATGTTGGGTCTGACGTGGCTCAAGACACTAAGTGCTGGGGGCAACAAACCCCACGAATATCAGGGGGTTGTACGAGTCCAATCAATACCTGTATATGAAAGTTTAAAGTGCTTAGTAAAGGTGTATTGTAGAATTTCGCTCCTGAAGTGTTAGTGAGCATTAATCCAAAGTGGGTTTAAGTGTGGTTTAAGCTCGAAAAACAATAGTTTGCATTTCACCTGACTCAGAAAAAGTCTCATCTATCGGTCTAATTAGAGTCCTCATAGGACTGCTAATGTTTAAAATAACGAATACCTTAAAATGCCCCCAAATTCTATTTCTGGATTCTGTTTTGAACGGATTCAGTGTGTGGGCATTGTGTTCTCCTTTCAGTGAAACACTCATTTTTCATCACCATGTTCAAAGTGTACCATTTGGAACTTCCAGTCTTATAAATTTCACAATGACCAAATACGATTCGGGAATGCTTCGACTGAAATATGTTGACTACGGCAAATCGACATAAACAGACTTCATTGTTTAGACGTAGTTAAAACAGGAGTTCCCGACCGGATTGCACCGTGTTTACGTGGCTTCTCTTCCCGGATGGAGGAAAACACATCAGTGAGTGAGTGAATGGACAACGCGGAACTGGTGCACAAAGAACTGCTCCGAGAGGGCCAATTAAACAACCCGTTTCTATTCGACTAAGATTCGCATGATACTCCAGCAGGTTAGCGCGAAAACCAGAAACACACGATGATGGTGAACAGGGACCTTCAATACCATGGGGTTCTTTTTTGTTTTAGTGATTTCATTTATCGCTAAACTGACTGATTGAATAGACTCGCATTTGCCGTCAGAATTTGTACCCGCTGCGTTTTGTCCATGCCGATAAGCTGTTACTGCACCCTCAGGCAACCCCACATCAGTTTTATCTAATGCTTTTATATGTTCTTTCTGTGAAACTGCAGATCAGTTAATTTCGGCTCGTTACGCTTTGTTTGATAGGTGATAATATTGATGCACTAGCAAACATCACAGTAGTCTCAGTTGATTGAATGGTACCATATAATATTTTATTATTTTAGCTTTGCTTAACGACTCCCGGTTGAGTGGGAGTCAATTGGGATAGGTTTTCTTTTTCTTTCTCTGATCATATGGAATCTTTGTACTATTTGGTGGAACCGAATAGACCAGTACTAATGATGATCCACACGAAGCCGTACCCACAATTTTACAAACCATGTAAACAGCCCATTAAAACAGGTTTAGAATGAAATTAATTTATTTTGGAAAATCACAATAAATGTTTCATGGATGATAAAGGGTTCATACTATGAATTTAGTTTTTGCTCACTAACGTTTTGTGTTTTCGTGGCTAATGAATTATTTTCAAATCCAACACATTGTAGCCAATCTATGTAATGGTCATTTTCACCAAAATTTGGCCAATCGATTCACTCCTCTCGTCGATCGATACGTTGAACTAATGGCCGAGTCCATTGAACAGGCTCTCATCGCGGGCTATGAGAATGAACGATGGATTCCAGCTGCCACGGTGGTCGGCCCCGGTGCAGGTCAGTGTGATATACATATTGTTCATATATTCGCACAAAACATACTTCATATGTAACTGAATACCCTAGTCACTGAGATTCCTACCTGCGATGCGAGCAAACTCAATATTAATAAATCCCAAGGGGAATAACTGTACCTTTTCAAGCCCATTCCAGTCAATTAGCGATTCCCACAGCTTCGTGAACTAAACAAGTATTTGAACAGCGACTGATCGATCATCTGTTCCGAGAAATAGGAGGGGGGTGTACTCCGGAAACGCACGCTTTGGAACTTCCATATTCTTAATCGGAATGAGTAACAAATACGTAATACTAATCTTCCACAAGATCGGCCGAGAAGGGAAACGAATAAGCCTCATGATAACTGAAACTAACTGAATGGTTGTGATGACTGTTGGCAAACTTGCTCCCTCAACTGGGAATGATGAACTACTTGAGGACATTCTTCCGCTCCGTTGTAATCGTTTACAATGAAGATGAGGATAGATCATTCTTTGTGAGTGTGTATCTGTGTATGTGTGTGTGTGTGCGTGGAAAGTAGAAGACAGAGGGTGGTTGTGAATGGGTGAGTAGGTGAATGAGCGAGAGTTCATGAACAGAGGTTACGTCGGTGTTTGAACACCTCTGTCCACACATATCCATTCTTCATGCTACCACTGGACGTTCGTTGACGGATAAGTAATGAAATATGCAATGGGACGTATTTGTTGTTTTTCTATAAATTGCTTACTCCCAGTCTCGCATTCACTTAATAGTTAAATATTTAAGAACGAACTGGATGAACAGACAGATTCATTACTGTTCAAATTATGCTGGTTACCAGATTGAACTAAAAAGGGCAGTAGCTTCGGTGGGATGCGAACCTATGCATGGACATCACGTACGTTTTTTGCACGGCGTACGCCTCACCAGCTGGGTTTTGGTGCCACACCGGTAGATCTGATCATCTCCTATTTGGATCGCCCACCCAAATTACAGAGTCCTACGAAATCCACCAGGTTATATGTAAGTTGACTTGCACGACATGTTTTTCTTAGATTATATTGAATGAACTTCCAAGGGTTAATCGTTCACATTATGTCGGTTTACAGATTCTTAATTTACCTAATATCATGAGGATGCTAGACCACAGTGAGCTTCCAGGTGTTCGTTCACTAAATCTCAAATCTTTCTCCAAAATGTATAAAACCCCTTGTGTTCGGTTCTACTCACAGCGAGCCCAACGAACAGCGAAAATCTATTCCTAAACGGCACCACTCCGGGCATGCAGAGATCTAGCCTGATCACACCACCCACAGGACTCTACCCGGATCATTCACCTGCCCTGTCCACACGCAGTTCTATCGGCGGGATAGGCAAATCACAGCTGGCCACTTCATCGCATCGACTGATTCGGGATGTGACCAGTGGACTGATTCTTGGATCTGCCTCGGGTCTACCGTTCACCTCGGAACCATTTGCCTGCCCCCAATCCTCGAGCAATATGACTGGCAGTTCCGCCTGTCAAACAGTGGTCGAATTGTTGTGGCGATTGCACAAACTGAAGCATTTCATTCAAGAGTTAGCCTGGCCCCAGTCCAATAAGGCCAAATCGTTGGACGAACAAATTCGTGTGCTCTGTGCCCAAATGTTACGAGAGGCAGTTAAACGGTACGTGTCGACCGTGGGCAACCCGTTGGCACCTGGGTTAACATGTTTACTGGGTGTTTTTCTGTCTATTTTTCTTATCAGTTAAAGGACCAAAGTTTCCTGCATTGTCACAATGCTTTTGACTGGGCTGTGAATGCATACCCGACTAAAATGCATATAAGTGCTGGCACAAATCACTAAAATACAATTAGGTTTAGCGGTAAACCAGAGTTGGCCAGACCATAATTATATACACAAAGAGAAGTAGATAAAAAATAATAAGAGAGTGGATTTGGTAAATATCGGCCCTTAACCTGGCGTGATCCATCGCCTAACCACCGCACTACAGATGTTTATGCATGAGACTCAATGTATCCCCAAATGTTGTTGAAGTGCTATTGACCAAATCTCTATCCTGACCTTCTTGTAATCACGTCCCCGAAGACGGTACCTCACAAAACGCTCGCATTCGGCCAGGGCATGGGAACAACCGAAGTTGCGTCCTTGTGGTGGCCTTATAATCAGTCTAACTGTTGCTCAAAAGCCGTCATGATGCGTTCCACACAGATGGGCGACGTGTTCTCTGGAATAATTGGATGCCAGCACTACCGTTAGAAGAAGCGATAGATAAGCTTTGATAAGCAGTGGATGGAAAAATAATATTCTCATCTTTCAAACCTGTTTTGTTACTGGTGAAATTTACGATTGTAGTGGTTCGTAGGACAAAAACAGTTCCACGCATTTCTTAAATGAAGTCCCGCCACACAGACAGGCCGATTGCGTGGCATATGCTAGTTTGAAACAATCTATGTGTAAATGGGAAGTCTGTGACGTTTTATGTGAAAATAATAGCCACCACCTAGAACATGTCACTAGCCGAGCGATACCAATTTGGTAAATGAGGTCTCCAACACATATACCCGAAAATCACGTATTTAAATCCCTGTACCATCCAACCTGTCCGCTTCTCCAAACCCATTGTCAGTCCTTGGTCTGTTCCCAACCCTGAGCTGAAAAGTGGCCGTTTAGTTCAATAATTACCAGAAAGGAATCAAGAAGTATCATTACTATTATCACTATAATAAATGTATGGCTTTCGTTCAAAGAGACTTTTGGTGTTTCGCTATCACGGTTTTTACCGCATCTCTCGCGTTTGATACGACGACCGTATTTAGACTTCAGAGATTAAATCACTAGCAGGACACTAAGTTCGGGCATCCATCAAACGCAGATTGCTTCCGTCATAAATCTCCAAAAACAGTGTCGCACGAAGGCCAGTTGATCACGGAGAGAATGACAAAGATAGGGTTAAATCAGCTCACACAGAGCGAAAGATGTACTTTGCAACAGATGGTTATTGGTTCCATGAACGGCTGTCGATCAGTGATCAGAGAGTTAGACATTTTCTTCGCATCTTCGGTTGTTCACTAAAGTTCGCCGAAGAATTGACACCAGAAAGAGTATTGAACAATCTGCTTGGCGAAATTTTACTCCACTTATTTATTTTAAGTGATTATATTTCAAAACTCATTGCTTGCCTTGCTCAAATCTCCAACAAATGCATATCTGTGTGTGTGTGCGCGCGTGGGGAAAGTGAGAGTGGTTGTGAATGGGTGGGTAGGTGAATGAGTTGTTGATCATAAATGGAGGTTACGTCACTCTACCCCTACCCACCCCTTCACAACCACTCCCCATTTCCACGCGCGCGCACACAGATATACACCCTCAAGAACATCAATTATCACAAGTCGATGATGCATATCTGCCGGTCTGTTGCTTTGACTAGACCAAATGGTGGACGCTGCAAAAAATGAACCAGTGAATAAATAACGCTCACGAAGTAGCTCCCCGCGTTTTTCAAAAAATGTCGACATTACACTCGATATTATTTCATCCGTCTCTCAACTGAACTCACTTTCCGTTTTTTTTCTCAATTTATGGTTACTAATCTCAGTCAATGAACATATAGCAAGTGACTGGATTAGATGTGATTCTAAACTGTGGTTGTAGCCAGTACATATTACGGTCGAACCGTATCGATCTAGCAATTCAAACAGGGGAAAAACAATAAACTTATGTGAGAAATCGATAAATGATAATCAGAATCAGCATAATTCTATTACTTAGTCAATTATGCTGCTAACCTTGAGGAAGGAGAAAGCGACCAATCAGAGGTATTCAATGAGAACTGATCGTCGGATTCGAACTCCATTTCCGTGTCAATGTGATGCTGAACTTCACTGTTTGGTCAACCCAGTCATCATGCAACAGGTTTTTTATCATCATAAACCACTTTGTTCATCCGCATCAAACGTTTCATCAAACGAGAGTGAACTTCCTGCTCACTAGTTGACAGGAAGTTTAGTGGATGGTGCCAACAGCCAGTGTAGCCCGAGTGAAGCAGCCGAATATGTTGCTACTGTTCAAGTCGCACAAGACTGCGCCTATTCAAGGATAGTTGTCCATTATGAATAACGGTCAGGGTATCGGTAAATTGGCATTCATCCAACAAAATATCTCACTTGGAACGAGTCCTCGGAATTCCCACACGCACACAGGACAGTTAATGGAACTGTCCACTTTCAGATGCACATTATTGTAGCTACCATACAGAACAGCAGAAATGCACTCCAACAGGTCTTGTTCATCTTTTGCCGTTGAAAGAAACCGCCAATCGCATCTTTTTGCAAACTACTCACAAGTATAAGTAGTATCTCACAACACCATCATTGTCATCCGCGCTGAACACAATCAGCATTACTCCCGTCTCGATGCAGGGTGCAACACAACAGCAGTGGACCACATAACGTGTGCCAACCCGAATCTGTTGTTGTGACGTGATCAAATAAAAATAACCTCGCCGAAAAATCGGCCTGATAGGAACAACCACCGAGAATGGTGTCCGCCAATATGATTTCGTTTCGTCTGGATGCTCGGGACAATTCAAATAACCGAATTCCACATAGTTGTGATTCACATTGCCGGTTATGTGTGCTCTATCGCTGCTACCGAACCACGCTTTGTTTACACACTATGCTGACATGCACCAGGAACGGAAAAAAACGTTTGGTTTCCTTATAGCATATTGATATGTGATCGGAACGAGTCTGCTATTCAGGTCCAGTGACTGAGGTCAATAAGCACAGATTTACAACAACCGGAAATTGAGAGTTCATACGTGAGACGTATTTGGTTGTTTTGGAGACCAAACGGTGTTGAAATATGGTCTGAATGTGTCAAACCAGAGGTGTTTTCATCCCAGCCACCCGTGATCACATCTCCCCTCGCCAATGTGTGTGTGTGTGTGTGTGTGTGTGTGTGTGTGTGTGTGTGTGTGTGTGTGTGTGTGTGTGAATACATACGTACAAATGGGATCCACGGATACGCAAAGCTGACCAAATTACCGATGGATGAGTTGTCATTTCGAGTACCTTGATCGAGATGAAGCTGTTGATACCAAAGTTCTCGTCGACTGATGGCCAAAACTATGTTGGACTGGCTTTCTACCTTACGCTCTACCGTTAGTCATCATGCATTTCACTTTTCTGACCGTGTCACCTTTTTAGGTGTACCAGATCACAAGTGTTCGCCTCACGCGTCTACAAATTATTAATCAGTAATGTGTCGCGTAAACATTCAATTAACTGGTTGTTTGAAACTCTCCTTACGATATGCGCATCAAGAAGAGGAACTTTACAACCCCATACCGTTGGATACAAGTGATTAGAATATTGTATAAGGGTGTCCGAAACTTCTGCTACTTAAGGATTCAATGCAGGCAGAATGGAACGGTACGGTAGCGAAGATAAAGCAAGATATATCGATCTAATCTCACACACATCTACGTATATGTGCACATTCATGTATGTTTTTGATTGTAGCACGTTGATCGAACTGGAATTGTGGGTTCGCAAATGTGTCAAAACTCCGGATATGATTTTGCCGCTCGAGTGTTGCACAATGTTGAACACCGTGACGGAGCTTCGAGCTCACTTATTTTCCTTGTGCCATGCGACCGATCTGACCACAAATCCTAGCAGTCCCCGATACACGACCGCGGCGGGGACGTCGGCTGTGAGCACGGGTGGGACAGGCGGGGCCACGAATTGCACTCAGTCCGCGGNGTCCGCGGTGAGTAAACAATGCCAGACTGGAATGTTCTTCTTTCTTTACGTTGCCTCCGAATGAATGAAGCACCAATTAAGCTGACACAAAGAGTTGCCTCGGCCTTTTTGTCATCGAATCTGTGCTTTTCCAAATGAAATGAAAACATTAATTAATGTGGACTATTATCACGATGTGTTGCTGACAGATAGTTTGAATTCCCATTCAAGCAATGCAGAAAAAAATTTTGATTGTACTTTTTTAGTACGTATCACATTGTGCTGGACAATAGAAGTAGTTAGCCCCATGGACATAAGAACCTACCATTCTCACATTGTGGCCAGAAACTTAAGCCCCGAGATTTGCAGGGATCCAATAACCTAGGTGTGGCATCAAATCGGACGGTCGGGAAGCTGCCTACCACTGAAGTTGGATGGTTGCGGCAGGGTTCGATCTTTTCATCATAGGACCCAAAGCGTAACAGGGACAGGTGCTTTAACCCGACCAAGCTGTTAGATCACTTGACTAACCTTTTTTGGTAGGAACACCATATTCACTTTTATCGACTATGGGAGTTATCTCGTCCATGGATGTGCAAAAGGAAAGATTTGTAACGAATTAGTTGACACACATGTGGATATTTAAACAACACAGTGTGCGGTGAAGCACCTATATCCAATTGGAATTCGCGTTTTATTATTTATTGACGTGTTTGCAAAAGCCAGCAATGGTTTGCCTTAAAAACTCTAATATATCCTGGTCTATTTCCGGTGATCATTATGACTCTGATCACTGGCAAAATGTAGGCTTTGGATTTAATTCTAGAACCCTAAAGCGCATCACCCGTAAAGCTACACTTGAAGAGGGCCATCTTAGGATATATTCTGAAGATCATTATACCGTGTAAACAGCAGTCGTTGGAATAAAGCTTCCCATGTGGTACGGTAAACGTACGTCTTTTTCATTGCAAACATTTGCTACTCATGAGTAGTTAAGCAAATATGGTGGTTTCGCAAACAAAGCTAGCGGATTACTTCAGTAATGGTTTACACTGATGTTGTTCCTTATCACCACAAGTAACTGAGTGCTACGTTTTGGCATCGAAGAACCGATTAGCCATACAATACTGAAAGTATTGAATTTGAAAAGTCTAGTCGTAAGGAAAATCGCAGGTCACAGAATAAAGAGTGCAAACAAGACAAATCAACTGACGCCGGGTGAAAATGACCCATGTCATTTGATAGAAATCTCTGAGCTCAGTCGAACTCCGTGCAATTCCTGTAATGGTGGATCAATAAACCATTCACAGTCTATCCGATAAGTTCTATTTGAGTTTGTAAGATAAATTAACAAAATTTAACGGAACCAGATGATGAATCCTGTCATTGTTTATCTTGAAAATTCCAAATTTCTCCACATACGAAGACTTCATTTATCATTTGAATCACATGAGTATAATGAACGTGTATGTACCTTGCGGAAACTGATTCATACTCTTAACTGTACAAGTACGTATTTAACTAAATCGCAATTCAAGCCTTTCGTTTCATTACACTGTCTCGAAGTAACTGTTCTCCCTGATTTTCCCCACAGAATCAACTTCACATTGAAACTGAAGAGTTTTTTGAGAGTGTGCAACGCAACATGATGGTCATTGTGGTGGACCACTTTCTCACTGTGCTAAACGGTGTGCTGAACAAACTGACTCGATTCGATGAGAATAAGCTGATTTCGTCCATTCTTACCCTGACGGTAAGGACCCTTGTCCATGTAGCCTTCCGTTGTTTTGTATGATTCTACAATGGTTGGTACATTCAGTTTACAATCATTGTATAAATAGCATAAACTACTCGGCGGGATCCAGACTCTATCCCACGGTAAATTTGGACTCTCAGAAATTGCTTGAATCGTTCTGAAATAAAAACTCATTCATTTAAAAGCATGTAAAGTCCTTCCTAGATAGTTCCGATAATCTCTAAGTATTTAGAGTATCAAGCTCAGGGGTAAGGGTTTGAGGTCCCGACCAGACTGATCGCGTTTTGAATTCTGACAGGGACGCAAAAAGTACGCACTGCAGACGAGTCCCAAACAGGACGAAACATCTGTCCAGTGCTCTTTGTTGGTTATCGCAAACATTTCCATCGCATTTGAATCTCTAAGTATCTTTCATAATTCCAAGACCTGCCCCTTTTGCGAAGTAAATCATAAGTGGGTCGGAAAGTCACCAATTAACCAAGCTGGTATATATCAGCAAGTGTTATCCAAATTGAACACTGCCTCATTTACACTCACCTTATATTTATTTTACGAACTTAAGTATACACTTGCCAATGACCTCGCTCCATAGTTGTATGTGAACGTGATTAATCGTTGTTCACGTACCTCTCCGCCTCTTTTACACTCTCCGATTTATTCCTCGTACTTTCCCACCAGAAACCTGTTGATGAAGAGGGTCGAACCTATACGAATTTCCTCAACGTAAATCTTCAACGATTGAGTCAGAATTTGGTCGACGAAGTATCCATGATTTCGTTGTGTGAGGTAAGTTTCCCATACGCCTGGCTCAATTCGTTATATTTTACTTCATAAAAGCAAAAACACGCCTCATCATCATCATCATCATCATCCCGCGTAAAGCATCTCAGCTGTGTGTAAAGCTTCTTTTGAAAGCTCAGTCTACCCATGTCCACCTCCACGATTACCACTTTTACCCTAAGCATTTTAGAGCCCTAATTGTTACTGTGATGTGAACATTATTTACTTGTATGATGTTCAAGAGGATATGAGTAGTTGACCACTACAAGATTTCAGCACTGCTGTCGTGTCAAGAAAGACCTCGCCCTGAAAATAGAACGTTCTGACGGGTTCGCATTTCTGGACATTCTCTTATCATGTCCCCGGAATGGCTCATTATACCGACCAAACTGCCATATAAAAACATGAATAGAGGATAAACTCAAAACCAAACGTTTGCCCCTTGGGGTGCGAAAATCAAATCATTGTGTTATTCAACCGAATGTGCTCTTGCTCAAATCCAATCAACGTAGAACTACATCGGCTCGAAAGTCTATTTTCGGTAGTGGATATCTGGAATCATTAACCAATATGAGCCTGAGGACTAAAATACAAAAAATTATCTGAAAATGTGATTAGGTAGATTGTGTATATATTTCCATGACATTCAAAGGCGACATGGTTACAGATTTAGTTAATCGGAGAAAAACGCAATCATCTAATAGGCCTAGTTTGCTGCCGTGCTAGCCCGGCGGTAAAGATCATCAGGTTTTCACCCTAGAGGACGTGCGTTCTCACCACCACCATCGCCTGACTTCCCTCATTCTATATGTTGTATGGCAACGCTATGAGACAAAGAAAATTAAAAAGAAGTTTTGTTCCGCTGAAATCAGTGTAAAAAGGACAGACTACCTGTGGAAGAAAATATCGTTGTTTCAGTATGATGAAAAGTCGCTAGAAGCTGCCACTTGAGAGCTTCGGTCACACTTCCACTTTGGGTCTTCCACCCACCCATCCCCTGCCTGCCCAACGCGTCAAACTTTGGAGTCAAAGGCTTCGATCGGGGTTACCAAAGAAAATCCCTTCATCAGTGCGGGATAACGCGAAGTATATCGTGATTTAAAGTCTCAGGTATCCATTTCGAAAATCCTGTTTCTCATTTGCCGAGTTCTTCCTGTCACTGCAAAATCGTTTGAGAAGTCTCCTGTTGACTTATCATATGGGATATCATTCAGCGTTTAACCAGCAAGGTCGACCAACCCAAAGCTATCTCTTTTTTACCTATCCGACTTCAATGTCAACACTATCAGACTGGTCAAAAATTTACCTTAACTAGAAACCTTGGAATTTTCACTTTTGAAGTATGAAGTGGACTCAAATCGATCACATAGTCATCCACTCCGCTGACTGGAATCCAATCGAAACTGTCCCTTTCACTGGTCAGTATCCGCTGATACAGACCATGCTATTACGAGCCAGATTCTTCCTCACCTGGTAAACTACCGCAAAAAGTCCACCGGAAACGGATACATATGGTACAATGCAAACAATGGTCACAAGTCAGCCTTCGAAGCAGAGCTATCTGATCGCCTAACAGTTCAACCAATCGCCGAAAGACTCAATGAACACTGGACGCAAATCAAGGAAGCTGTCTAAAGGTCGATTAACTCAACGGTGTCTTCTGGCACACAATCAAAGCACAGATAATAGATCTTCTTGACCTCAGTTACCTTGCTAGATGCTCTCAGAATCATCTCTCCGGATGCCATACAAGATATAACATGCAAATACCTTAAACACCAGAGTAATGACCGTGAGAATTGGTGAGTATCAAACTATACGGAAAGATGGAGAAGGCTGTGGCTATTGCTTCTACCTATAATTAGGAATAGGGTCCCAATGAAAGCATGTGTGAGGTAATTAAATAGTCCGATAGCCCGTTGATTGATATTCAGCAAAACCTTCTTGAGCGATAGGCTGAACATTTCGAGGCTCGGTCCCACTGGCCCCCATCGGTCCCTGTCTTAACTAAGCAAATAGCACTAGTTGGTATCAGTCTCCATTTAAAATGAGGGATTCTCCGGGAATAAGTTATCTCAATTGCTATGAGGTTGCCAGGTTCTGTATGAGAGAGTGAACAGGTTCCAAGTGAACGGAGGAGGAAGTGAACAAATTTGACCAGCAAAGCAGCTATAACTTATCTGGTGGATGTATCACGAATGAAGTGTCGACTGGCATTCAGATTGGGATTTGCCAACATGAGACATCTGTGGTACCGTTGCAACAGACGGCTTTCTTTGAAGGGTCGAGTATATACTGTAGCAGTTCAGCCATACTGCGCAAAGACGATAACAAGATAAATAAAGACTGTCAGTGCTCAAACATTGCTGTCTCCGCCGCATTGCTCGAGTCTGGATAAGCAACGTCGAAGTCAAACGCAGAGTTTCCGGTGATCGCGGTGGCCCACTGGAGCAAGTGGTTAACCCCCATAGACTATGTTGGTTGGCGTACGTTACGCATGTCACGACGTGCGTTTCTTGTCGAGGTGGATGATGGGTAGTCAAACTGAGACCCGGCATAAGAGTATGAGAACCCTGAATAGGAGACTCGATGTAAGTCAGATTAGGCTTTCTCAATGTAGAACAATGGATCATTGCAACAGACATTTAGAGATACTTAGTGATATGGCTGAGTTTCACAAACAGTGGTGCTCATGGCTCCACTCAATTTCTTTGCAACCTTATTCTAATTGAATTCTTTATTTTCACCCTTACACTGAATTCAACATTTCAGTCTTTCTTCTACCCCTTCATCCAAATTCGCAACACTAATGCGCACGGTTGTTTAAACTGGATCGAACAATGAATACGACCTGGATTTTTGTTTTAATCAGTTTAATTGCTCTCGTAAAACACGCTACATAGGTCGAATCACCCAGCCTATTTCAAATCTCTTCTCCTTCGAACAACCAGGGCAGGGATGACTTTAACCATCACCTGTCTGATCGATTTTGGTCACGCAGTCCGTGTGTATAAACCGCTCTGTTCGATCTAAATTGTCAGAAGGTTGTCTTAGGAATTTCAGGGTAAGATTGTATCAAAGACATAAGTGATCACTGGTCGACGTTCCGTTGCACTCGGAAACAATCAGTGATTGCTGTCGTTTGCTCGTCAACGCTGGGTACTTTCTTACGTTTTCAGACTTGTCCGTATTTCGTGTATTTGTCCAGTGCTCTGTCAACAAAATAAAAAGCCCGTCCCATGATTCGGCGTGCTCTGATGAAATTTCTGGTGGAAACTGAACGTACGAAATATTGTTCCGATTGCCTGTTCGTTTGACTTTGAATGGTCAGCAATGCGAAATTTGTGATATCCAGAAACGAAAATGAACAGGCTGCTTCGCCTCCCCGTAGGAACAATCTCATTGTGTGTTATTTTGATGGGAACTGAAAAATCAATTTCTCACGTGCGACACCTTGCCAAGTATGAAGTTAAAAACAGCTTTGAGGGTGTGTTTACCTCAGACCTTAAGCCATCATGGAACAGTCTGTATGCTTGGATCAGCTCATTTTTCGCTGGCACTATGCATTCCGTATGATATTGTTGTTTTTGAACAGCTGTGCCAACCCCGGGGTTTGTTTATTCGTGTTACTCCATCCAATGCTGTTGATTCCAAGGTTACACAATCTCTATCGATTTTTAAGATCCATTGTATTTGCTTTAACCATCACAATTTTCGACGATGATTGCGAGTGGCTTCGTATATAACTTGACTAATAAATACTGAAGGATGATTGAAATTCGTTTGCTAGACTACAACAAGTCTCTATATTGACAAATAACCGTATTGGATCTCTAATAAGACACCATGAAAGTTATGCTTACATTATCATTTCTCTCTTTCCGCCCTCTGTCGTGATCTTCTTTCCCCTCATCGCGTCCATTTGTCGGATGGAATGTGACCACAGAGCTGGTACACCCGTCAGATGCGAATGATTTACGAGTGGCTGGTGCACCGCAAAAGCATGCTACTCCATCCCTATCAGATCAAATGTCTTTCAAATATTGTAAAAGTAAGTACTATGTATAAAAGCGCGATTAGTGCACTACTCCCATGCCCTATCGGAACAGAATAAGTAACTCTCAACTTGCTTACGTGTTGCTATAAGTGTCACCCATTTAATTTGTACGAGCGGTTTCGGGGAAATGACGCCCGACATTTGCTACGGAATAATTGACGATTAGTCCGTATGTGGTACACCACGTTTGATCCAAATTGGCCTTGATGTGGCCAAATAAACAGAGATAGTGAACCAACATATTTCGGATTAGTAACTAAAGAGAATCCTGGGGCCCATTTGGTATCATGTACGACGGTTGCAATCGTATCAGACTCATCATCTAGCCGATTTTCAGTCGCAATTTGCTGAAACGCACCTGACCTGTCAGCATCACTGACGGCATCCGAATCTCCACTCACTTTTGATGTGGAGTCACGTGGGAACCGTGAATTGTATGACAAATAGGAAACAAAGCAGTTGCCAGAATCTTGTCATTAGTTTACCCCCACGCGGGTTGACAAATTCTATTTTTTCAAGTCTGGTTCTCTTGCAAGCTTTTGACAGTCGACTGAGAAAACACATCAGTTGCAAAGCATTTCAAAAATTGTCCTCCTATAAAATGGCATCGACTGTTGAGGAACTACAAATGGTTAGCTCAACTATAGGAATTGGGAAACTCCCACCGAAGAAGAGGTGCGAGAACTGAATTCGGGATACTCTGCTGGTGCAAGTCACCGGCTCAGTTCGATCAACTGACTGAGTGACGCGTGAACAAAGAACATAAACGGGTGCACGGTCTGTCACCTCGGACACCAGAACCGACTAGCCTATCGTCTGTATACACACGTCACCTAAGTGGGTCAGACCTTGTTTGATAGCCAGTGTGAATCCGTAAGAAAGCAATCTAACAGCGTACAGAGTATGAACAAGTATCGAAATCATTTTTTTATCAAAAAGCCGTGAACGCCAGCACGGCGAGGTCATGTTTCCTGGACCCGGTGAATGCAATGATGGTAATCATATTTGGCTGTAAAGATCACACTCGAGTATCTGATAGGTTTCCTTTTGATGAATCCATATGTGACCTTGTACAGTTATTTCATGTTCGTGTGTTCCAGAGAGATGCGACTAACACCACCAAACTCGATGCAATGATCAGTGTTGAAGTGATTACAAAGTTGAGTATTTTGGGAAAAAACAAAGTACCCAGAACCACAGAACTGTACTCTGCGGTTATTACCAATTGTCCCACATACATGGCCGATATTTCTCTACCAAAACGTTCTCGTTGTTACGTCTCCGCAGAAACGTAAACGTGACCTTTGCGGCTAAGCATGATTCGATGAGCGGCAATAGACGAAAAAGCAGTCGCGCATTTCCAGAAGAATTGTGATTAGACCTTCATATAACACAGCCCAGTTTTTGAGTTCTTGTGCATCCTATTTTTCTGTACCGGTCCTTTGTAAACACCAGTGCATCCAACACCACAAATTTTGAGCACTTACCAGGAGGAAAACATTCTCCTTACAGATTAATTATTGGAATGTACAAAAATTAGCGAATAGAAAATAAATTTTGCAGACCAACTTGGGAATTCATTTACCATGTGTTTACGAGCTACTAAACAAATCTTATGCTTGAATGTCATTCATATTTCACTTGAAAATATCTCAGACATCATTTCTATTATTCGATTTCTCTCAATCAAACAGAAAATATTCACGTATTTTGAACTTCAAGGACTGTCCAAAAGTGTACTCGACACCATCGCTTACCAGACCGTTTCTCAGCGGCTTCAGGTGAGTCACCTCCCCGAGTGAATTGATTCTAAACAAATTGAGCTAGTCCGGTGTCCTGTTTCTGAATTCGCACACACACATACAGAGAGCGACTAAACGATGAACAGAATGACAGCCCGTTTTGATAGTCAAGTAAATGTAAAACTTCTGATCATGTTACACGAATAAATAACCCCCTCCCCCCCCCCCAGGGGTGAACTGGGTTATATGGTTTGATTTGTTGTAACACACTTGGATTCCATGGGGAGCGATCGAGACTGATAAAAAGCAGACGGTTTATGACCTGGTGAAGACAAGAAAACAATGGCAAAGCAGCCGGGCTGATGATAAGGTTATGAAGCCACTTCCTTGAGGGTCCACGTGTGGTAGACTGGAATGTCATGAGCGAAGCTCTGCCATCTTTGTAGCTGTGATCTTGCTTTAGTCTCCCAGTTCATCGTATCAATCCCGATCACTAATGATTCGTTTTTATTGTCCCAAGGGGCTGACAGAACAGATGAATCAGGTACAGAGAGAACTATCCGAGAACATCACAACTGTGTGAAACCATACATGCGTTTTACAGATCCTACGGGTGAATGTGGTACCTATGAGCACCGTATTACTGAGAGTAGCTTCCCATTTCATTTCCATGATTTGTGGTTAATCTCGTTTTTTTCAATGCTATATAGTACCCGGGCTCCTGCCGATATGATGTTTCCTTAATCCAAAGTCCATAGCTTCTTAACCGTTTTATCTGTTGCATTCACTCCAGCTCCCGTTATTGAGAAGGCAAAACTTAGTAACCTCAAAAGTCATACGCATTGGGCACTTGTTAGGCTAACCTTGATTCCAACACAATTATAACGGGCTCAACTTAGTTATCAGTGGGCGTCACACGGCATAATTCGGCAAATCACTTTTCTGTGAAAACTGACTGTGAACACCCATGACATATTTTCCACATAAATCACCTGTTTCTACTCCATTTTGTCAAACTTGCCTATCGTTCAGGTTGAAGAGACCGCGCACAATGTCAAACAAGAAACCGGTACGACCAGCAGCTCGAGTGCAGGAAAGCGGAAACTTCTGTCCGCGTTCAGCGGAAGTAGCATGTTCCACCGCAATTGAATTTGCGGACCCGGATCAAGAAGAAAGCATCCAAAGGACCCAGGTCAAAACCCTACCTAATCTATGAAACACAATTTTCACACTATTCTGCCTCCTGAATTCCAATCATTCCAGCCTATCTGTTATTTAATTGATACCCGGTCTTTCAATACAAGTGAGCCGCCTTTATTGAACGGCAGTCACCGAGACTAATGTGTTCATGCCACCCCAAGCGCCTCACAGATTTATATGTGAATCTCGTATGTGAACGTGTAAACTTAAAGTAATAACAATGCCAAGAGATTTAATTTCATACGAATAGAAATTTATGCAACATCGCAGCCTTTTTCCTTTTCCATCATAGAACCATGAAAAGCTTTCATCCTAAATTAAATGTCTGCAAAAAATCAGCTTCTCTGACATTTATCGCCGTGCAGAATCGTCTTTCTCTATTCCATGACAGTTATACATAAGAGACATACCGTCCTCAATTTGCACTTCAGCTTTGCGTAGCAATCGGAATACCAATCTTTCAAGCCCCGACCACCAGATATTTGGTCTACATTACTTTTATGCGACTAATTCCTGCTCGAGAATGAACCGACTCTGATAGCAGCTGCCCACGGACAACAAAATGAGAGATTTAACGAATTCAACCGATTACCGGCTCACGGTAAGTTTCTGATTTCATGTTTGGATTTACCAATAAGTTGGTCTCACGGGTCGAAGTCACTCTCTTAAAATTGGATGGACCCAAGGCAACGCAGATGGATCAGAACAGATTGAGCACTGCTCCACACTGTACGTACCTCCTTAAGTGAAACAGTATGGTGTCATGATGAATAAACCCTCCTAATGAATCGGTCCCAACCCACAATCCCCACTATGTCATCAACCAAACCACGGAATCAACTGCAACGTGATCGATTAGATTGCGCGATTCGCATCGCTTTCAGTTCGTACACCGATTGACCATGAACTTCCATCCTTTGGTAGTAGTCGCCGTGATATGTAAATCGTTCGAATGAGTTCGTCCACCTCATTCCGCAGTAATCCGGTTGTACTACTCCAACTTTGTAGAACCAACCATTATGTGTACTACATGCGAGTTCTTTTGTCACATCGATCTGAATCACACAACGCACAACTTCAGACCCGAATGGCAAGACAGCGTGAGTGACCGAAAAGAAGAAAGACAAATACGTGCGTACTACGAGAACTATCGGCTCAGAAATTCACGGAGTTAGTTACACATGAAACTAATAATAATCGTTAAATAATTAATACACAATAAGATAGCGGTCAGTTTAGCTTACAAAAAAAGTTTGGGTTAGAAGTGGGGGTAAAAACGTGGGCAAGTCATTGTTGGTGTCAAAATAGAGAGGGCAATTGCCGAGTCCGGCAACGAATACGCTTAGGATTGGAAATGGCACAGTGGGAATAGTGCGAGATGAGAGATTAGAACTATGTACAATTGCGGGGGACGTCCATAAATAACGCCATGATGAGACCATTTGTTTTCAAATGCAGAGCCGATACCGGAGCGTGGTGTTATCTCCGACGTCGTAACTGGTGTCGTGTTGCGGGTTGTTTGAAGGCAGGATAGTCCTCGCGTCGCTGAAAATCCGCATAAACCTGATCAACCGCGTGATCTAGTTCGTCTTGAAAGAAAGAGTCAGGCATGAGTTGTGTAGACTCAGCCAATGGTGGCAGACGACGCGTTCCTGTGACAACTGCCGAGTGCGTCTTGCGCTCACGTGCAGCCTGCTTGGTGACTTTCTCGGTTCTACCATCACCGGATGAGTTCTTTCTGGAGGTGCTTCGCGTACGACGCCCTGCCGCAGCGAAAGTGGAATCATTCGCGACGGATTGTGCTTTACGGGTACCTCTACGCAAGGATGGCAAAACGTTACTCTTCGTCTGATCCATCTCCCCGTCTGGATCGGTATCACGGTCCTCCTCCTCCTCATCATCATCGTCTGTCGGTCTGTGGTTCTCTTTGCTTCGGGATCGGGGTGTTCTGTTCGAATCAGACTCGCTCTCGGACACAAAATAGCCAGATACCGGCGAGGGCAATTTCGGGAGATGATTTCGAGCAGTTTTGGTGGAATTGGGATTACGCTTTGCATTTCGGCGCAGTCGAAGTTTTCGCGCCGGACGATTCGATTGGACCGGACTGGTCGAGTGGGCTGTGCTATCAGCTATGGTAAGTGTTTGTTCAGTACCAATCGATATTTGAGGAACGGGTGCTTTGGGTAAGAACGGAGAGCAACCAGTGGTTGACTGACCCGAGTGAATCGGAAGGATCGGGGAACCGAGGTTGGGAGAATCGGGTACGTTCGAACAGCTCGTTTGTAAACCGATAGATTGGCGAGAATCATGCAGTGATACCTGTAAGAAACGGATAACGATAATTTGTGAGGGGAAATGAATGAAGAACCAATAGTGATCTCTAAATCTTGATCTACAACTATTCAATATTCCCATCCTAATTAATAAAAAAAGGAAACAATGGTGATATCTATTTGTCAATAACATGTCACCGGGACAGTAAAAGACAAGGCTAAGTTTCGGGCATTACGGTTGACGTTTGAAAGTATCATTCTTATTTGATCGATGATATTTGTCTGAGCAAACTTGCACATTCACTGTCTTTATCTGGCTTTATTCGTTTTGCTCACCGATTCTATCCACTTTGTATTCTTTGTAAAAATAAGACAACGCACCGAAAGTATATAACCCACATGATAAACAAGCAAGTATTTATTCCAATAGTTACCTGTAAAGCAACACTGTGCCGTTTGCAAACAGGTGGGGGTGTGGTCTGCATTGCACGTTCCACCAGGGGGTTCTGACATGGTTCGAACTGTACCGCAGCATCTCGATCAGGTATGTGGGATTCGAGAGAGGCTATTCGTTGAGTTTTAACTTCAATCGCTGTATTTGTCTCCTCGCGTAATCGGCAAAGGGCCACTTCGTGTTCCTTGTTTAACTGTGTTACGGTGCGTTCCAGTTCTAGGTTATGCTGATCACGAATCTGGAGCAACTCGTGATTTATTCGTCCAATTTCATCGGCCTGAGAAAGCTGGATTAGAAAATCAGATGGCCCAATGAATGGGATTTAACGACGATTAGAAGCGCATCATCAAAGATGAATTTAACACCAATAGGGAGGTAGTTGTGAGTAGACGATTTGTGGATGATCAATCTACGTAACTAAGACATGTGTGAAACAAAACTGAACACACAAACCTGATATGAGATAATACGATAAAGAAGCACAAAATTACGATCGAACAAGGTTAGGAAACAGATTTCCCTTTGCAGATCCTCACTTACAGTACGTTTACCAAGCGCTCAATAATTTAAACAAATCAGTAATCCAATGGTGATCTATATCTGCCCCCAAATGAGACTAATAGACCAATTATTGTACACAAAATTGACCATCAATTGCTAGAAAACACTTGAGGCATGATTCAGTTTCAGTTTGAACAACCATTAACCATGCACTTTCGTGCGCCGGTTTTGGTTGCTGTCTTTTGGCTGCCCATTGGGATGAAGAATAGGAGAAGAAGGGAAAGTTGAAAGTGGATTCGAAAAGAAAATGGAGAAGTTCAGTGGACTACGGTTGGGAAGAAATTGAGGAGATGCACGAACGCCACTGTTTACGACACCCAGCCATATCGCTCGGTGCTTCTAACCAGCGGTTACGATCATCCCGAGGTCCCCAGCCAGGGAGCCTAACAAGACCCATGTGACCCAGTTTCCTGGAGTTACGATCATCCCCAGGTCCCCAGCCAGGGAGCCTAACAGGACCTATGTGACCCAGTTTCCTGGTTAGGGTTTTCATACCCTCGCGCCAGGTCTTAACTTGACCACCCTTGGCTTTTTTCCATTCTGTATCTTCTTCGGCGAACATCGCTCGCCGTGGTGACCTACCTGGTGACATGCGTAGCACATGTCCCAGCCAACGT